ACACTTTTCTGTCTGACAATCCTCAATGGACATGTCTGGCAGTTTCCAGAAGTATTGGCTGACTGCATTGTGTAAAGTTTGGTGGAGGGGGGATATGGTATGGGGTTGTTTTTCAGGGGTTGGGCTTGGCCCCTTAGTTCTACTGAAGGTAACTCTTTAGGCATCATGTACCAAGACAGTTTGGACAATTTCATGCTCCCAACTTTGTGGGAACAGTTTGGGGATGGCCCCTTCCTGTTCCAACATGAACAACATGAGTGGCAGAGAGGGCCAACTCAATATTGAACCCTACGGACTAAGACTGGGATGCCGTTAAAGTTCATGTGCGTGGAAAGGCAGGCGTTCCCAATACTTTTTGGCAACATAGTGTGTATGCATACTTTTTTTTTTTTTTTTTTTTACTTTTTTCAGTATAAAATAGAAATGAGCGGTAAAACATTTGTGTATCAATAAAAATGTATTTATAAAAAAAGATTATAAATACCCCCTGTTCTTATCTGAACTCCTACCCCCTGTTCTCAGCTGCATAAGATCTGAGGGAGGGAGAAACGGCAGCATCTTCTCAGTGAATGGCTGTGCGGGTGTGAGCAGAAGTCTGATCATTGGAGGAGAGCACACTGAGTTCCCAGCACAGCTGACCAGGCTGTGCTTTCATGCCTAGTGTGATCAGTTTTTTAATAGGAAAGCGTAAAGACTAGTAGGATCACCAGGGGTTTCACACAAAAGAAGCAATACAAGTACATGGTACAACATGAGGAATATGAAATGTTGGGTGTACATATTCTTTAATTGCATGGTGCTGTTAGCACGTGTGAATTTGCTCTGTGGCTGCCAGTGTGTGGGGCTTTAACAATTATTGGCACCCCTATGCATCTGCTAACGTGAAATGCATTTCTCTGCCATGCTGCAGTTGTATACATCGGGGGCATATTTTTAATAAATTGCAAAGATTTCAAAACTAACTTCTTTCACATTGTCATTATGGGGAATTGTTTGTAGAATGTTGAGGAAAAAAATTAATTTAATCCATTTTGGAATAAGGCTGTAACATAACAAAATGTGGCAAAAGTTAAGCGCCGTGGTTACATGTTAGCCTTTAGTTTTTGAATGCATTTTTCATCTCTTTAAAGCAGAACTTTACCCATAACAGTTTGATAACAATGAATGTTCTTTATTAATATTGCTCCTGTTTCTTCTTGCCAGAGGCTGCCATTTTGCTGAAGCTCCGAGCCACTGAGCAGCAGTAAATCTTTGGGCCAGGCTTGCTCAACCTTTGAAAGAGCAAGGTCCATTTAAGTTATTTGGTAACCGATCATGGGCCACAATGAAATTTATTGGTTCAGAATTTAGAATTTTTTCTATTTTGAATAGCAAAATGAACATTTTCCTCCTGCAGCCACAGAATGCTGATGGGGAGGAAGTGGAGGAGAAGCCAGCTATCAGCAGTTGCAGGAGGAAAATGGAGAGGATTGGTGGCTGTATATACTGCCCCTGCTTTCCAAGTGTAAAACAGAATGAGACAGGGAGACCACACTGGTCCCCTGAAGCATTTCAACCCCTGACGCTGCACCAATAGTTGGGTGTGTGGTGAAAACAGGCCTCCCAAATTGCAAATGTAAACGAGTCCTTACTGTTCTGAGCTTGCTGTAAGGCTGCTTTCACACTGATGCGCTGTGGTTTACTTGCAATACAGGTGCAAAATAAAACTTACTCCTGCGCATGAGTGTGATGGACCAGGGTAGATAGATGGGATTCCCATGAACACCTGTACTGCAAAAAATCAAGAGAAAAAAGGGCGCACTAGCCTGGTGCGTTATCCCCGTTGGTTTATTGGTAGTATAAAAAGCAAAAAACATACAAACCTAAGTAATACAGGGCACGTAAAATCCTATATCCTAAAGGAGCGCCATCCAGGATCCAAGACCGTTTATGCGTTTTGAGGGTACCCCTCTTCACCAGAGCTAACTAGATGGGATCCAATTTCCATATATATAAAGACCATGTGAACCTCAGGGTCCACCCCCATCCAAGGGGCAGATACCTGCAGACCGGGCCAAATACAAACCAGCCTGAAATGCACCCATGTTTATTGAAGGACGGCCAACAATAATAATAATGGTAATATAGTTAGAGAAATGCAATACTCACACTGGTTACATATTCTAATAACATGTGGATGGTCCCCTTCTCTTTCTATTGTTGTAGTAGTTCCAGATGTCTCCAGTGTAAGAAACTGCGTGGGGGTGTACAGAAGAGAGCAAACGTAGATCTGTATGATGTACACTAGTCCCACCAGGTGTCAGTCTACATAAATGATAGGCCCATATACCTGTGGTATACCAGTAGGGGGAATGTACCACTCGTGTTCCATGCATGGAACGCACACCGGCATCCAATACAGGAAGTATTGTACGTTCCAGCGTGCATGACGTCACTTCCGGTTCAATCGTCATGGTGACCAGCTGCGCCCTCTTCACACACTCAGAGCGCCACCCATCCAAGACAAAGGCAGCCCCCTGGCAACAAAGTAATACTGACCAAAGCCAATATACCATGATGAATCAAGAGTATATAAATGTAATGGGGCACAGACAATTGTGATCCACAAGCATGAATATTCTTGGATCAATAAAGGAGTTCTGGACTCCAGGTTCACATGTCATGAGTGTGGGTGTACAGTAAAAAAAACATGGTGTGTATATATACATTAATAAAATATAAATTTAATGAACTATGTGTAATGCTGTTAGAAGATGGCACCAACATGTCACTAGATCCAAAAATATAAAAACACAAACCGACACGTACACCATCAAATAAATGTCCTGGGCCCATTGGGCAACATATACTCTAAGTGTATAAATGAGAATTTCTAAAATTTAACAGAATAATAGATATATCCTGCAAAGAATTAGTAATAATAATAGTGCTAATTAACATAATTATTATCATCTCAATGGACTAGTGGGGGGATCTTAATATATGGACCCTAGAATGGCTAAAAATGGTGTCCCTATCATATATGGGGCGACTGGAAGAAATGAGCTACAGTGCAACAAAGCACCTGTTGCTAAATTCCAAAATTAGCTGGATAGTGTTAGATTATGAATTTCTGGATCCTCATTGAGGCCTACTGCAACCTAATGTAAAGTTGCAGTAGGCCTCTCTCTTGCATAAATTTTGATGTCTCCTGCCTGGATCCAAGTCACATCCTAGGGCCCCAGTGCCAAAAACTCTGAGGCCAAGTGGATCACCATTATGGGTTTATTTGAAATGGTGTGGAATGGAGTATTTGTCTTTACCACTTTGTGTTCACTGATTCGAACTGTAAGGGCTCAAGATGTCCGACCCGTATAGAGGTGACCACATGGACATGATCCCATAGACTACATAACGTGTGCCACAATTAATGAATTGGCCAATCCTATGTGTCCTACCATCTACCCCAATAAACTCTTTTGCGATGTATCATAACTGACCAGGTTCCACAATTTCTAACTCCACACCTAAAACTATCCTTCTGGTCAAACCAAAATGTCCCTGGACTGTCTGAGCTGCCCCTTGTGGCTGATGCATTTCTGAATCCTACAAGGGTCAATAAAGCTCCTGAAGTTATGTGGTTTCCTGTAGATAAACTGTGGTTTATCTGGAAGTAACATACCCAAAACCGTATCTTGTTTGGGAATTTTACAGTTTAAGTTAAAACACTGTAGCTCAAAGGACTTTTTTCTTTTTGGGCTGTGCTATGGTCAAGTTATCATACAGTGCCCTATATTTAGTATAGGCACCTTCAATATGTTCCTCCTTATGCCCTTTTTCCAAAATCTTCCTTTTCAGGACTACAGTTTGTGCTTCAAAGTCCTCTTTACGAGTACAAGTGCATCTTAACCTGCAGAAATGGCCATAGGGGATGTTGTGGAACCAAGTGGGGGGATGGTTACTGTCAGCATGGATATAAGAATTGCCTGCACTTGGCTTAAAATGTGTCCTGGAAAAAATAGTGCACCTGTGGCTTTCCTGCGGGTTAGCTGTGCTTTGCATAGACTTCTATTATATCTTGTGGGTTGAGGGCACTTTCTGAAAGCGCACCAAACCTGCTGAATATAACAGAAGTGCGTTTTCCTGCTTTGAGGTCGAGGGCTGCTTCGTAGGGCTCTGAGGGCCACAGGTTGAACACACCTGATTTAGGCTGTCGACCGTTTTGCCTCTAGTGGCTCTGATTTTTGACACCGTGCTTAGAGAGCGACTCGGTATGTGCAGAGCAGGGTGAGACCGTGTTTTACTGGAATCTAACCACTTGAGGTTTTACTCCTTCATGACCAGGCCATTTGTTTTGCTATTCCAAGCTGCGTTGATTTAACTGCCAATTGCTCGGTCAATTGTCTTTGGTAAAAACAAAAATGTACTGTATTTTCGCTCCATAAGACGCACCTGACCATAAGACGCACCTAGGTTTTAGAGGCAGAAAACAGGAAAAAAAATTCTGAACTAATGGACTGCAGACACAGTACAGTACAGGATGACCAGAGACTGACCAGAGACTGCGGACAGCACAGGGGATGACCAGAGACTGCGGACAGACAGGGAGCACAGGGGATGACCAGACCAGAGACTGCGGACAGCACAGGGGATGACCAGAGACTGCGGACAGCACAGGGGATGACCAGAGACTGCGGACAGCACAGGGGATGACCAGAGACTGCGGACAGCACAGGGGATGACCAGAGACTGCGGACAGCACAGGGGATGACCAGAGACTGCGGACAGCACAGGGGATGACCAGAGACTGCGGACAGCACAGGGGATGACTGCTGACCTTTAGGGAGGGGGGAGGAGCAGGTACCCGAATTTGACAGGTACCCGCTCTTACTTCCGCGGAGTTGTTCTTTGACCTTACCTGTTCCTCTATCCAGCGGCGTGCTGTCTTCCCGGCTTCTGTAGTGTGGGCGCTTGACATGACAGCCGGGTGCCCAGTGCACATGAGCCAGAAGCACTTGCGCTTTGTGATTGGTCCGGCGGCTTCTGGGATCTGTCATGTGTCCCAGGTACCGCCTTACCATTCACAAAAAGCACCGCTTCTTGCGCATGCGCACTTGGCACACGGCTGTCAAGCGCCCACACTACAGAAGCCGGGAAGACAGCGCGCCGCTGGATAGAGGAACAGGTAAGGTCAAAGAACAACTCCGCGGAAGTAAGAGAGCGGGTACCTGTCAAATTCAGGTACCCGCTCCCCAAAGGTCAGCAGTCAGCTCCATAAGGTCCCACTGCAGAGCTGAGCGGCCGGCCCGGTATTCTGACGCGGCGGTGGAAATACCGGACCGGCCGCTCCATATTCGCTCCATAAGACGCACTGACATTCCCACCCCCCTTCTTTGGGGGGAAAAAAGTGTGTCTTATGGAGCGAAAAAAAATACGGTAAGTGTATATTAATTGGTTTGTGTGAAATTTATAGTGTCTACAAACTATGGTGTATATACAGTGCCCTGAAAAAGTATTCATACCCCTTGAAATTTTCAACATTTTGTCATGTTACAACCAAAAACGTAAATGTATTTTATTGGGATTTTATGTGCAGACCAACACAAAGTGGCACATAATTGTGAAGTGGAAGGAAAATGATAAATGGTTTTCAAAATTTTTTACAAATAAGTATGTGAAAAGTGTGACGTGCATTGGTATTCAGCCCCCCTGTGTCATAACTTTGTAGAACCACCTTTCGCTGCAATTACAGCTGCAAGTCTTTTTGGGGATGTCTCTACCAGCTTTGCATATCCAGAGTGAAATTTTTGCCCATTCGTCTTTGCAAAATAGCTCAAGCTCTGTCAGATTGTGAACAGGAATTTTCAAGTCTTGACATAGATTCTCAATTCGATTTAGGTCTGGACTTTGACTGAGCCATTCTAAAACATGAATATGCTTTAATCTAAACCATTCCATTGTAGCTCTGGCTGAATGTTTCGGGTCGTTGTCCTGCTGGGAGGTGAACCTCTGCCCCAGTCTCAAGTTTTCAGCAGACTCTTAACAGGTTTTTTTCTAAGATTGCCCTGTATTTGGCTCCATCCATCTTCCCATCAACTCTGACCATCTTTCTTGTCCCTGCTGTAGAAAAATATCCCCACAACATGATGCTGCCACCACCATGTTTCACAGTGGGTGTGTTCAGGGTGATGTGCGGTGTTTAGTTTTCAGCCACACATAGCATTTTGCTTTTAGATTTAAAAAGTTTGATTTTGGTCTCATCTGACCAGAGCAACTTCTTCCACATGTTTTCTGTGTCCCCCACATGGCTTCTTGCAAACAGGACTTCTTATGGCTTTCTTTCAGCAATGGCTTTCTTCTTGCCACTCTTCCATAAAGGCCAGTTTTGTGGAGTGCATGACTAATAGTTGTCCTGTGGACAGATTCTCCCACCTGAGCTGTGGATCTCTGCAGCTCCTCCAGAGTTATCATGGGCCCCTTGGCTGCTTCTCTGATTAATGCTGTCCTTGCCCGGCCTGTCAGTTTAGGTGGACAAGCATGTCTTTGTAGAATTGCAGTTGTGCCATAATCTTTTCATTTTTGGACGATGGATTGAACAGTGCTCCATGAGTGTTCAAAGCTTGTGATATTTATTTGTATGACCTAACCCTGCTTTAAATTTCTCCACAACTTTATCTCTGGCCTGTCTGGTGTGTTCCTTGGCCTTAATGATGCTGTTTGTTCACTAATGTTCTCTAACAAACCTCTGAGGGCTTGACAGAACCGCTTTATTTACAGTGGATATAAAAAGTCTACACACCCCTGTTAAAATGTCAGGTTTGTATGATGTGAAAAAATGAGACCAAGATAAATCATTTCAGAACTTTTTCCACCTTTTTAATGTGACCTATAAACTGTACAAGTCAATTGAAAAACAAACTGAAATCTTTTGGGGGGGCAAGTAAACATAAAAAAACTAAAATAATGTGGTTGCATAAGTGTGCACACCCTCTTATAACTGGGGATGTAGCTGTGTTCAGAATTAAGCAATCACATTCAAAATCATGTTAAATAGGAGTCAGTACACACCTGCCGTCATTTAAAGTGCCTCTGATTAACCCCAAATAAAGTTCAGCTGTTCTCGTAGGTCTTTTCCGACCTTTTCTTAGTTGCATCTGTCTTGGAAATTCGCTTTAACGAATTTTTCCTTACCGTGAGTACTCGCAGTTGGATGCGCAGAAATCCCCCATAAAGCTGTGCGAATCTCGCTTACCACGACTGCAGCTAAACTACACGATTCCTGCCCATCCAAATGGGTTAGCTCTGTTGTAATGTGGGGAATGGAGCTCCGTTACCCTAGAATGATCACACGACACTCTAAGGCTGCTGTTGGAATTCACGTAAGGGCAGTTTTCATTCTCCCCTTTGGTTTTATTACAAATACACACACGCCCCCCCACATGAATAAGGTCAAACCCCTCCCACAGAACAATGCAATGGGGAGTGCCTATACACAGGATGTACATTCTGATTGGAGCATAGCCTTTCCTATTATCTATCACTGGTCCTCCCCCATGAGCCTTCTGAGGTCAGCAGACTTCCTCCCCTTCCCCCCATGAGCCCTCTATGGAGAGCATATCTCCTCCCCTTCCCCCCATGAGCCCCTCTATGGAGAGCATATCTCCTCCCCTTCCCCCCATGAGCCCTCTATGGAGAGCATATTTCCCAGCTCCTAGCAGTATGTCCATTCCCTGTACAAGCATCCCCTAGGAACATCAGTCTGTACCTGGATGGGCCCGATGCGATCTTTATTAAAACACATCCATCCAGATACAGTTCAGATTGGTAATGGGTTGTAAGATATGCATAAGCCTACACGTGGAGTTCGTACCGCTTGGCGCCTTGCGTTACGAAGTCCATGTGGTACTATGCTGCTGATATGTGGATACAGGCCCGCGGTCTACTGCCAGCGGCATTCGCATCGAATGCCGTGGTGGTATACACGCCGGTCTATAAGCGCAGATCCGCCATCTCATCCATTACCGAGCTGAGTACTGTAATACATACATTCATTGTACATGCGCATGGCCCAATTGCAGCCTTCAGAGCTTTAATTAAGCCACACGAGAGACATATGAATAACACGAATATATGACACATTTAAAGTTCGACCAACAATACAAAATTTCCATGACACATCCTACAGCAAAAGCCATGGTCTGCAGAGAGCTTCCAGAGCATCAGATGGATCTCATTGTTAAAAGGTATCTGTCATGAGAAGGGTACAAAAGAATTTCCAAGGCATTCAGTATACCATTGAACATAGTAAAGACAATCATCAAGTGGAGAAAATATGGCGTAACAGTGACATTACCACGAACTGGACGTCCCTCTAAAATTGATGAAAAACCAAGAAAACTGGTCTGGGAGGCTGCCAAGAGGCCTACAGCAACATTAAAGGAGCTGCAAGAATTTCTGGCAAGTACTGACTGTGTGGTGCATGTGACAACAATCTCCCATATTCTTCATATGTCTGGGCTTTGGGGTAGAGTGGAAAGATGGAAACCTTTTCTTACGAATAAAAACATCCAAGCCTGGCTAAATTTTGCAAAAACACATCTGAAGTCTTCCAAAAGCATGTGGGAAAATGTGTTATGGTCTGATGAAACCAAGGTTGAACTTTTTGGCCATAATTACAAAAGCTGTTTTTTTTCAGCTGGAACTGAGGCCTTAGTCAAGGTAGAGGGAATTATGAACAGTTCCAAATACCAGTCAGTATTGGCACAAAACCTTCAGGCTTCTGCTAGAAAGCTGAACATGAAGAGGAACTTCATCTTTTAGCATAATGACCCAAAGCATACATTCAAATCAAAGGAATGGCTTCACCAGAAAAAAGATTAATTTTGGAATGGCCCAGCCAGAGCCCAGACCTGAATCCGACTGAAAATCTGTGGGGTGATCTGAAGAGGGCTGTGCACAGGAGATGCCCTCGCAATCTCACAGATTTGGAATGTTCTTGCAAGGAAGAGTGGGCAAATATTGCCAAGTCAAGATGTGTCATGCTGATAGACTCATACCCAAAAAGATTGAGCGTTGTAATAAAATCAAAAGGTGCTTCAACAAAGTATTAGTTTAAGGGTGCGCACACTTATGCAACCACATTAATTTAGATTTTTATTTTTACTCCCCTCCACTTAAAATAATTCAGTTTGTTGTTCAACTGAGTTGTTCAGTTTATAGGTCACATTAAAGATCTAAACCGTTCTGAAATGATTTATCTTTGTCTCAATTTTTTACACCACAGAAACCTGACGTTTTAACGGGTGTGTAGACCTTTTTTTTTTTTTTTTTTTTTTTTTTATTAACTGTATACTGAAATTAAATTACACACAGGTGGACTCTATTTACTAATTATGTGACTTCTGAAGGCAACTGGTTCCACTAGATTTTAGTTAGGGGTATCAGAGTAAAGGGCGCTGAATACAAATTCATGCCACACTTTTCACATACTTATTTGCTAAATATTTTGAAAACCATTTATCATTTTCCTTCCACTTCACAATTATGTGCCACTTTGTGTTGGTCTATCACATAAAATTAATTTACATTTTTGCTTGTAACATGACAAAATGTGTAAAATTTTAAGAGGGTATGAATACTTTTTCAAGGCACTGTATATTTGAAAATTTATCAATCTTGATGTACTGACAGCCTGTCTCATTTCATGATGTTCTTAAAATGCCATGACTGTACAAATTACCCCTTTTTTGGAAACTAGACAGTCTGAGGTATTTAGTAAGACGCATGGGGAGGTTTTTGAAGTTTTTATTATTTTTTTTTTGCCACGATTTTCTGTAAAATGAAGAAATTTAAGTACTTTTTTTTTTTTTTTTTTTTTATCAGATCAGGCGGACTTGGTAACAGATATGTTCTGCTTATTTTGGTTGACTTTATTTTTTGCTCCATAAAATGCACTGCCCCCCCCCCCCCAAAAAAAAAGGGGGGGGGGGAAACGTCAGTACGTCTTATAGAGCGAATATGGAGCGGCGGGTCCGGTATTTTCGCCACCGTGTCAGAATACAGGGCCGGCTGCTCGGCTCTTCTCTGCATCAGAGGAAGATGAAAGAGAGCGCACAAACCTTGCGCATTACCTCAATAAATAGTGACTAATTTTATTAATAAGGAAATATACTCACAAAATGATTGTATAACAGGCATAAGTAACCATAATCCAAACAGGGTTACAGGTAAAATCAAAAAGGGGGGGGTATGAAGGCTAACGCGTTTCGAAGGGTGCTTCCCTTCTTCATCAGAGCTGGGTTTGGCAGATAGAAACTTCAGCATGGCAGAGTTCCCATGGCAAGGAGATATTCAGCCACTGAGTGTCAGTATTACAGCAGTTCAGCCTGTTTAGTGTCACTAAACAGGCTGAACTGCTGTAATACTGACACTCAGTGGCTGAATATCTCCTTGCCATGGGAACTCTGCCATGCTGAAGTTTCTATCTGCCAAACCCAGCTCTGATGAAGAAGGGAGCACCCTTCGAAACGCGTTAGCCTTCATACCCCCCCCTTTTTGATTTACCTGTAACCCTGTTTGGATTATGGTTACTTATGCCTGTTATACAATCATTTTGTGAGTATATTTCCTTATTAATAAAATTAGTCACTATTTATTGAGGTAATGCGCAAGGTTTGTGCGCTCTTTCTTTCATCTTCCTCTACAGTTTTATTAAGCTTCCCCAGCTTCATGATAGAGCTGCACAACCTCTGATCACCAGTGGATGAATACACAACACGCTGCTTGTCACTAACGCCTGTTTGATCTGAGTCCTTGAGCGCAGGAGATATAATGGATCTTTGGGTGACTTCTCTGCATCAGAGCCTTACCTGTTACTCGGTCCAGCGCTGTACAGTCTTTCCGCGCCGGCATCTTTAGTGTGGGCACCCGGCTGTGACAGCCGGGTGCCCACTGCGCATGTGCGAGAAGCGATGGGCTTTGTGAATGGCCCGGTGTCTTCTGGGACACGTGACAGGTTCCAGAAGACGCCGGGCCATTTAGCCAGGTGCCCACACTAAAGGGAGGGACAACTTCGTGGAAGCAGGTACCTGTCAAAATCAGGTACCCGTTCCCCCTCCCTCCCCAAAGGTCCGCAGTCTCTTGGTGGTCCCCTGCACTGTGTCCGCAGTCTCTGGTGGTCCCCTGCACTGTGTCCGCAGTCCATTGGTTCAGAATATTTTTTTTTTTTTTTTTTCCCCTCTAAAACCTAGGCACGTCTTATGGAGCGAAAAATACGGTACATTGACCTTAAGCTGGTCATACACTAGAAGATCTGCAAATAAACGTTCTACAAAATTTTGTATGAAAATTCTCCCAGTACATTTGATGACATGGTACTCCAAAACAAATATTCATTTAACATTCAACGTTAGAAAGGAGTTTGTGCAAGAAAACCGTTCCATTCTGCTTCTTCAAATTTTATGATAATTTTGGTCGAAAGCCGACATTGATTGGACACCACTAAAGATCAGGAGGTCACACAGACATTGTCAAAATGAAAATGTGTGCATGAAATCCTAGTGTATGGCCAGCCTTGTTTGGCAAAATGGGTCTCACACCTAATACCTGACCTTTAAAGTGGTTGCAATGGTTCAAGGTTTAAAAAACATAAACAAAAAACCCTTCTGTGTTCAGCCCCCCCCCCCCCCCTCATCCGCCAGTGAGCCACTGAGAGAGGGGGGGGGGGGCAAGGCCAAGCCAGGGCTCTGTGTGTCTTATGGATGCATAGAGCAGTGGCTCAGGAATGTGCAAGCAGTGGTGCCCTCGGGACGTTTTCCTGGGGGCACTGCTTGAGGGGGAGGAGCCAGGATCACCAGCAGGACCCCAAAAGAAGAGGATCGGAGCTGCTCTGTGCAAAATCATTGCACAGAGGAGGTGAGTATAGAAATGTTTGTTGTTTAAAATAATAAAAAAAACAAAAACCCTGAAGCTTTAGTGTCACTTTAACTAGCCCACATTACAAATAAGTACCTATACTGTTTAAAATCCAGTAATACACTGTCTCTCTGCTCTGCACATGCTCAGTTGCTCCCTATTTTTAGGCACTGTGGTGAAAATGTAGAGACCGATCTGCTGACAGCCCAAAGATTTACTGCTGCTCAGGGCTCTGGCAAGAAAAAAAAGGAACTGGATGCTGGAGGCAACACTAATTTTGGTAGCATAATTATTAATGTGGAATGTATGTTCCTTGCTAAAGAACATTGTTTTTTGTCAAGTTGCTGTGGGTAAACCTTTGCTCCAAGCTTCCATTGCCCCCTCTCCCTTTTTGGGAGATATTGCTTTCTGCAAAGTTCACCACAAACGCCAAGCTTCCATAATGGGGATCTTCCTATCTCTTTGTTACATGGGGTAAAAGCTGACCACCTCTGTACATAAATTAGAGATTCTATTACCTGTGCTTCTTTTACAAGATGGATCATAAGGCATCATAGAACTGCAGATCCGGTGTTCCTTTACCACTGTAAAGGTGAGGTGCATCCCTGTTTTGGGGCGTTGGATTTATTACAAGGGGATAATTCTGTTGTGTAGTCAATCTAATCCGTTTGTGGTTTCTTCAACTGGCCTTGGGTTTGTGGTGTACAATCTAGGTTTCTTTGTCACAGGTAACCTTGCTCACCCCATTCCATTGGCCTATATGATTTCATTATGTATGTTGTGTAGCCTTTAGTTAAAGGCAATCTCTAATCTTTTATATTGTTTGTGTGTAGAATTGCTAATTATGTACACATTCAATGCAAATCCATCAGTCTGTGAAAACCAATTTAAAACCGTGCTGTCTCTAGGTGGCTTATTATATAATTGATTTTCTCTCTGAAGTCCTTTTTCAGTGATGCTTATGTATATTGTATGCATTTATAAGAGAATCTGCAAATCTGTATAAAGCATACAACCAAACAAATATTGCAAAACATACAGTGTAAGTAAAGTTGCATTAAAATTACAAAAAAAGCAACAATAAAATCGTTTTTTGCTTTAGTAGAAAATGCGATTGTATTAAATGTTCTTTTTTTGTGCCAAAGACAGCAGTAGTGCAACAATGGAGCTGCTTGCTCCTGACTTGTTACCTTTTCCTTCAATTTTATAGGCTATGTATCTTTAAAATATATATATATATATATATATATATATATATATATATTTTTTTTTTTTTTTTTTTTTTTTTTTTTTTTTAGGGCTTGACAAATCCTAGGTCTCCATGGAGACTTAAAATTGTGCCCTGGCCCCTGGGTTCACACACTGCTTCCCATTGACTTCAATGCAAAAATGCCTCCTTTTGACTTCACTGCATAAACTTCTGTCAATACCTATCCTATGCAGGGTGGATTTGATTTAAATCCTAGTTTTCTACATAGACTAATTCTTGCTGGTATAACTTTAATATGCAAGTAGATGAAGATTTTTAGAATAACTGTTCATACTAGTTTTTTTTATCCCCAGTTTAATAGGTTAAGCATTCATATTTGGACAACTTTTCTGTTGTACTTAGGAAGGAGAAAAATAATCATTACCTTAATAATAACAATTTAAATAGATTTATTCAACTGAAACAACAACATTACAGCATATGTTATTTGCTTAAATAAACATCCATGTTTGTTAACTAATTTGGCTAAACAAAATATATATATTTTAAGAAACTTAGACTGTCAGCCCCTTCCTCCTCACACTTCGTTTCACTTTCTTCTTGTGCAGATCTATTCCACTCCAAACAATCAGAAAAATATTGTTTCTATTCTATTCACTGAACTTCTTGAAACTTAGCACTGAAGGGGTTGATTCTGTATTCAGAGGTTTGTAGAAGTTAGGATTAAGGTCTTTTTCTTAACTCTGTTCATGTTATAACATTTTTGCTGTGAAGAAGAGGCATGTGATCTCCGCTGAGTCAAATTCAGTTTTGAGAACTGCAAAAGTAAACCAAGCATCTGTGATAATATCTTGTAGGCAGAGAAACTGCCCAATAATCTTACAAAAACCTCTGGAAGAGCATGACATTGTGAATGGATTCATGGAATTTATTTACCAAAACAATTAAACATATACAGCCTTATGCAGGCCATAGATGGGGAGAAAAACTGCAGATTTTTCTTTTAAAAAACGAAAAATCGGTTGTTCAAGTGGCCGACGTTACCATCAATGGTAAAAAAAATCGGCCGATTTTCTACCCGTCTAGAGCCGGCAAAAAGTGTCCCTGCAGAGAGCTCTGCTATTTCTTTGACAGTTCTCTGACAGCTCCTTGACATTTATAGAAGTTGCAACAATGTATCTATTTGTTTCCATTTAGGATACAGATGTTTTTATTCGGAAACAAATAGATACAATGTTTCAACCGCTGTAAATGTCAAGGAACTGTCAGAGAACTGTCAGAAATAGCGGAGCTCTCTGCAGAGACACTTTTTGCTGGACTGGAATTCTTCTTATTTTCATCCTACTTCTTCTTCATCCTCATCCTCTCTTCTTCTTCTTCTTCTTCATCCTCATCCTCTTCTTCTTCTTCATCATCCTCATCTTCTTCTTCTTCTTCTTCTTCTTCTTCTTCCTCTTCCTCTTCCTCTTCCTCTTCCTCTTCTCTTCCTCTTCTCTTCTTCCTCTCTTCCTCTTCTTCCTCTTCTTCTTCTCTTCTTCTTCCTCTTCTTCTTCCTCTTCCTCTTCCTCTTCCTCTTCTTCTTCCTCTTCTTCTTCTTCTTCTTCTTCTTCTTCCTCTTTTCTTCCTCTTCTTCTCCTCTTCTTCTTCCTCTTCTTCTTCCTCTTCTTCTTCCTCTCTTCTTCCTCTTCTTTCTTCTTCCTCTTCTTCCTCCTCTTCTTCTTCCTCTTCTTCCTTCTTCTCTCTTCTTCTCCTCCTCTTCTTCCTCTCTTCTTCTCTTCTTCCTCTCTCTTCTTCCTCTCTTCTTCCTCTTCTTCTTCCTCTTCTTCTTCCTCTTCTTCTTCCTCTTCTTCTTCCTCTTCTTCTTCCTCTTCTTCTTCCTCTTCTTCTTCCTCCTTCTTCTTCCTCTTCTTCTTCCTCTTCTTCTTCCTCCTCTTCTTCCTCCTCTTCTTCTCCTCTTCTCCTCTTCTTCCTCCTCTTCTTCCTCTCTCTTCTTCCTTCTCTTCCTCTTCTTCCTTCTTCTTCCTCTTCCTCCTTCCTCTCTTCTTCTCTTCTCCTCTTCTTCTTCCTCTTCTTCTTCCTCCTTCTTCTTCCTCCTCCTCTTCTTCCTCTCTCTTCTTCCTCTTCTTCTTCCTCTCTTCTTCTCTCTTCTCTCCTCTTCTTCCTCCTCTCTTCCTCCTCTTCTTCCTCCTCTTCTTCCTCCTCTTCTTCCTCCTCTTCTTCTCTCCTCTTCTTCCTCTCCTCTTTCCCCCTCTTCTTCCTCCTCTTCTTCCTCCTCTTCTTCATCTTCTCCTCTTCTTCTTCCTCCTCTCCTCTTCATCCTCCTCCTCTTCATCTCCTCATCTTCCTCTTCTTCATCTTCTCCTTCTTCTCCTCTTCATCATCCTCCTCCTCTTCATCATCCTCCTCCTCTTCATCATCCTCCTCCTCTTCATCATCCTCCTCCTCTTCATCATCCTCCTCCTCTTCATCATCCTCCTCCTCTTCATCATCCTCCTCTTCTTCTTCTCCTCTTCATCATCCTCTTCTTCTTCTTCTTCCTCTTCATCATCTCTTCTTCTTCTTCTTCCTCTTCATCATCCTCTTCTTCTTCTTCTTCCTCTTCATCATCCTCTTCTTCTTCTTCTTCCTCTTCATCATCCTCTTCTTCTTCTTCTTCCTCTTCATCATCCTCTTCTTCTTCTTCTTCCTCTTCATCATCCTCTTCTTCTTCTTCTTCCTCTTCATCATCCTCTTCTTCTTCTTCTTCCTCTTCATCATCTCTCTTCTTCTTCTTCTCTCTCTTCATCCTCTTCTTCTTCTTTCCTCTTCATCATCTTCTTCTTCTTCTTCCTCTCTTCATCTCTCTTCTTCTTCTTCTTCTTCTTCTTCATCATCCTCTTCTTCTTCTTCTTCCTCTTCATCATCCTCTTCTTCTTCTTCTTCCTCTTCATCATCCTCATTCTTCCTCTTCTTCCTCTTCATCATCCTCTTCTTCCTCTTCATCATCCTCTTTTCCTCTTCTTCTTTTTGTCTTCCTCTTGCAGGTCACTGCTCATGGGCCGATTTTTTTC